TGGAAGACACTGCCTGTAAATATCTTACTCCTTGACTTTTCTCTAGCACTTTCCTAAAGCTGCCCTCTGCTAGTGTGGAACTAAAACCTTGGTAATAGCTTAGCAGATATTGCTATGAGATCACCACCCATGATGCACAGCATTATTGGTTTATCTTTCTTGTGTCCTCCATGCTCCTCCATTTTCCTTCTGTATCCATCTTATTGGCATATCTTTTTGTAGAGGTAGCTAATAAGCTTTGACAAGGTAAAATCACCATCTTGTCACTTGTCATACATTTGTATGGTACTCACTGTTCCAGGGCTGCATTGCTGCAGTGCACAAAATTAATAATAATGCCATCCTTGGCAGAAAGATGTAAAAACCTCAGATCCCTGAAAATACTGTAACAAGAAAGGCTGCTCAAAGATTAATGTTTTGCTGGACATAGGTTTTAGTATGCATGTTAATTGGCTGTATCGTTATTGGATGTGTACTGCATATATGCATCAATTGCTTGGTTAATTTGGGGGGGGGGAGGGCATGTTATTCTTTTTAGCCTGAATGACAGTTTTTCCTTTCCTTGGGTAGGTTTTCTGCAATCTTTATGTGTAGATATATGAATAGATTTTCACTTTTACTCCAAACTTTTAAAAACTAATTTGAGAGTGTAAGGGGGATTTAGTACAAGTGAAACAAAAGACTATAATATTTGAAGAGTTTATTTACCAGATACATGACTTTTTAAAACCAGTTTATTCCTATGCAGGAGGATAATCCACCTAGGAATAAATTTCTGTCATTATTCCCATGGGTGGTCTCTTGCTAATCTTTTTAAGAGCTTCCTGAGACAACCACAGGATCCACTGCCTTTTTTTTACTAGAGCTTTACATAGCTTTGCAAATATACAAGAAAAAAAGAAAAAAGAAAAATAATATAGACTAGTAAGATGGTTGTGGTGGGTTGACCTTGCCTGGCTGCCAGACACCCACCCAGATTCTCTCTCATTAAAAAAAGGACAGGGGAGAAAATAGGATGAAAAAGCTTGTGGGTCACGATAAAGGCAGAGACATCACTTACCAGTTACCATCATGGGCAAAACAGACTTGACTTGAGGAAAGTTAATTTAATTTATTGCAAATTAAAATAGATTTGGATAGTGGGAAATGAAGACAAAAAGATGAAAGCAACACCTTCCTCCTGCTCCATCTTCTCAGACTCAGCTTCACTGCATTATTCCTGACTCTACTACCCCCACTATCCACCACCCTGAGCAGCGCAGGGGGATGGGGAACCATGGGTTATGGGGTCAGTCCATAACAGCCCCTCTCTGCTGCTCCTTCCTCCTCACACTCTTCCCCTGCTCCAGTGTGGGTCCTTCCACAGGCTGCAGTCCTTCAGGATAAACCTGCTCCAGCATTGGTCCTCCATGGACCACAATTCCTGTCATGAGAACATGCTCCAGTGTGGGGTCTTCATGGGCTGCAGTTCCTTCAGGAAATATCCACCTGCTCTGGCATGGGTCCTCCATGGGCTGCAGTGTGGATATCTGCTCTGGCATGGGTCTTCTCCGGGGGCTGCAGGGAAATACCTGCTCCAGCATAGTCTCTTCACAAGCTGCAGGGGAATCTCTACTCATGTACCTGGAGCACCTCCTACCCCTCCTCGTGCTCTCACCTTGGTGCTCGCAGGGCTGTTTCTCACACTTTCCTCACTCCTTTCTGCCCGTATGGCATTTTTGCCCTTCCTTAAATGTGTTTTCCCAGAGGTGCCACCATCTTGGCTGAAGGCCTCAGCTGTGCCCTGTGGTGGGTCCATAGGAACTGGTTGTGTCTGGCATGGGGCAGTCCCGGCCTTTCCCCACAGAGGCTGCCCTTGCAGCCCCCACTGCCAGCTCCTGGGCACCTGCACTCAAGACAAAATAAACAAATATGATCCTTCAAAAAGTGCCATTGCCAGGACAACGTCCCTTGCATCAGGGTGCTGCAGAGGGGTCACTGGCCAGAAGTGATCGCAGCAGGGAAGGACCTGGCAGCCCAGGCCTATCCCACCGCTCCAGCTGGGAGCAGGGCAGCCAGGGCACTGGGGCAACCCCAGCCCCAGGCATGGGACACCTCCCTGGGGACATGATGTGGGCCTGTGGGTGGGCCCAGCTTGGCAGAGCCCATGGCTGTGCAGGGCAGGGCTGTGGGGAGCTGGAGGCTGGGCCTGCTATGGCATGTTGGGGCAGGGGCTGCTGGCCCTGGGGAGCTGAAATGGGGTCCTGGGCCTTGGGCAGGCAGGGGGAGTCTTGGGGGGCTGACATGGGGTTCTGGGCAGTGGGCAGGGTCGGGGGAGTCCCGGGGGCCTGGACAGGGACAGGCAGGGCTGATGGTGCCCTCAGGCTCTCAGGGCAGCTTTTCTGTAGTCTTCGTACTTCCCTTTATCCTTCCTTAAATGCTGGAAGCAAAGGGCTTGGGAGAATATATTTCTATGTAGCCAGATGATATAGCTACGTCTGGATGCTTGTCAGCAAGGAAGGGGGTGTGCATAAAGAAAGCAGTGGTCTGCTACCTTAACAGGCAAATATTCATGACAGAGTCTTATTCCAGAAGTCTGCCCTATGAAAAATGAAAAGGGAGAAAACTTCCTCTGAGCTTTTGTTTTCAGATGAAGAGTGTGAAAATTCATCTCATGTTTCTTCTTGTTTCATATTAGTTTTTATTTTAGTTTAAAACCAGTAATACCTCCTCAAACATAGATTTGGAAATAGACATTTACAAAATAATTGGAACCTAGAACTTCTAAATATGAAACGTTTGTGGAAGAAGTTTTTGGGTTTTAGAAGCTCCACCTTCCTGTTAGAAATGAGTTCCCAAAAAGCTTCGGGTTAAAAATGACTGATACGTGGATGTGATTCCAGTGCAGTTGAAGCCATGTGTTTAAAAAAAATCACAGCACAGCTCCTGAAACCATGACAGGGGAAAAAAAAAGCATCATGTAAAGAAAGATATCAAATTGTGAACCTTTAGTTTCTGTGTTGTTTCTGTTTATAGTAAGTTCCATGTATCTGCTGTGGGGCTGAATGCAGAAGAATCTAAGCATGTTAAGTGAAGCAAGGCTTGTTTGGAGTTGTTGTACCTTTTATTAGACCAGTTGTTGCATCTGGTGAACGTAAAAGCTATAACTCAGAGCATGTAAATCATTCGAGGGCTGTTCTAGAAACAGTTAAAACCTCCATATTCAAACTTTGTCCTCCAAGCATCTTCCAAGAAAATGATTCAGAAAGTTGGTAACACTGCAAGTGTTTGGATACAGGATACAGGAGAGTTATTTAGCATTGTGATGCTGCATGGTAAGTGCTACCGCTTTGTGGAAGCAGAGAATGTATTTGTTAGTCACTCAGTACCTTTTGTTTTTTGGTTTTTTGATCTATCAGCCTCAAGTAGTATGTCTGTTTGAAAGACTTCTCTGCAAATGCAAATCACTTTTTTTTTTTTTTTTTTTTTGCAGTAGATTGTACTGCCTACAGCTTGACCCTGTTTTTCAGGTACTAACCACAACATAAAACCTGAGGTAAAGTTACTTTGGTTTCCAAGCTTAAATGACCATTCCTAATAATCAGAGAGGTTTCATTTAAGAAATCAGTGAATAATTTCTGTCTAGTCCTCTGGCTTTATATTCCTCCAAACTGAAATAAGTATTAGGACAGTAAGTATTTAATTGCCTACTACAGCTAATGACATGATGGTCTATGTCTCCCATGATGTATCACCACTAGCCAGTATAGGGACACATTAAAGTTGAAGCCAGGATGTAGTCCTGACCCAAAGATAACCTTGGTTAAAACCTGGTGAATTTGACAACAGAATACCAATGAATACCAACAGAATACTGGTATTCTGAATACTAACAGAATACTTATGAATGCTTCATAAGCATTTCAAAGAAAAAAAAAAAAACCCAAACACACGAAAAACTTTCAACTTTCAACTGAATCCTCAATTTCTGGAAAGAAATATTCTAGTTTAGCACTTAAAGGCACACCAAGAACTTGCTAGAATCCCCAACTGGGAAGAGACCTTGCACAGTAATCTAAAAGTAAACAGCTCCTTGCTGATAGAAAAAGCCCAGGCTGGTCCCTTTGAAGTGCAACAGGCACACTGCAAACTGTGATGTTTGAACAGGTCTGCTTCAGTCTCCATTTAAAGAAAGGCACTAAGTTACTCAAATCTATGAACAGTTGCTCAAGTGGACAGGCACAAAGCAGAACCAAGGATCAATACCTGTCTTTAAACTAAAGGAGGGTAGATTCAGACTGGATATAAGGAAGAAATTTTTTACGAGGGTGGTGAAGCACTGGAACAGGTTGCCCAGAGAGGTAGCGGAGGCCCCATCCCTAGAAACATTCAAGGTCAGGTTGGATGGGGCTCTGAGCAACCTGATCTAGTTGAAGATGTCCCTGCTCACTGCAGGGGGGTTGGGCTAGATGACCTCTACAGGTCCCTTCCGACCCAAAGCATTCTATGATTCTATGATTTAAATGCACTTTCCATCTATTTAATGAGACATATGCACCCAATCTTCTTTTGGTAAAGCAAGATCAATTCTCAGCATTTGAGAAAAACACAGAAGTTGACACAGCCGATTTTAAGATAAATGAGAAAAGTCTATCGATCCAGTGAAATGGGGTTGGGGGGCTCAAATCTATTCTCTTACGTGCAAGAGTGTGTGTGCATTGAAAGACTGCATTTGAGGACTGTGATATCTCATTAGATAAAATGCAGTGTTAGAAGGGTGTGGAGTTTGTCAGAGAAAGACAGAGGAAGTGAAAAAGAAGAGAAAAAGAGTTCACTTGTCTGTTTAGTTTATACTGTTAAATTCCTTTTCATAGTCCTGCTACTTCATGGCTTCAGATAAAAGCACAAATGGTCAGCTGCTGTCCCCTTCCTGTTTATCACACTCATTTGAAGCATTTCCTATAACCTAGTTTGACACTAAGTCAGTCTTCAATAGAAAGAAGTGATAAAAAGACCTTGTGATGAAGAATGAAGAGGGTTACACAGAACTTTATTTCAAAACAAGGAAGAAAAACTCCAATGCAGGTGAGCATATAAGCGTTTAGTGTATGCCTTCAGACTTGTTCTGTAAATAACAAATCTCATATTTGAGTTGTTATAAAAAACCCACAAATCTGTCAAATTTTTAGCTGGTTCTACTAAAGTTGCCAATGATGTATGGCAGTATACAAAGAAATATGATGGACGGTAGGTAAAATGCAGTACTAATAGTACCACCAGGCTTGGAGAACTGGTGCTGACGCTCCCAGTATAAAATGGAGACTAGGAGAGAGAGGCATATGAGGAAAACATGAGGCAGTAGTTGTCAGCAAGTTTGGCAGTGGTTAATGGCTCATTAGCCATTTAAGTTTTCTACAGGGTTTTGGTTGTTTTTTTTTTTTTTTTTGCTTTGCTTTGTTTTGTTTTCAGGAATCACAGCTAAGAAGAATTTAAGAATAATTTAAATTAAAACTGTACAATAGTAACTTACCATCCAGTAAGCTTTTTCAACAACTTCTGGGGATTTTGTCAAAAATGTCAGGAGCAGCAAGGGAGAAAGTAAAAAGTTATATGCTGGAAGGCTTTCAAGCTCACCCTTGCTAACCTTTATTTCTTTTAAGTGTCCCAGGGAAGAGCTTCTCAGATCATAAATACCAAGTCCTCTGAGAAATTAGACATCCAGTTTCCGAACAGTTAATTAGCTGTGATGATCAGTTCCTGAGAAATCCTGGCTGCATATATATATAGGAATGATTTTTAGTAGGAAAAAAGCAAGAGCCAACTTCAGTTACTCAGTATGGCAGGATAAATTGTGTGCAATTTTATTAACATAAATTGTGCCAGTTTGTCTATTATTACAACAACTTAGCTAAGAGCCTGTTCCCAACTGCAGTAAAAGTACAGAACTAGCAAAATTGAGGAAACAAAAGAGAGAAATGATCATAAAAGCTAATATTTATTTAACTAAGAATTTTCAATGGTCTTTAAAGTATTTGTCAAAGTGGACAGAAACATTGCTGTAATGGAGTAGATTGAATATTTCCATTTAAAAGAAGCAGAAAGTCAGACAAAGCATATGTGGCACATATACAGAATGGTATGTGACCACAAACATGCAGAGTACACAGTGACAAAGCTGGGTTTAAAATGCTCTAACATCATCATCTACCTGCATGATTGGGTAGCATGACACAACAGGGCCGCAAAAAGACTTCAGGTATGCAACTGAAAAGAACAGTGCTTTCATTTAGCTTGTTAAACAATGCACTGCAAGCTGAGTCTCTGCTTGTAGTGAAAGGTGTGTTGAGCTAGCTTTAGACCAGACACAGACTATTCATGGTAGCATGATATAGATACGGAATACAGAAGTGTATTCACTGGAGTGGTTAGAAATGGTCTCAATGCCTCCTTGGCATAATCTAGAGTAATATCTGTGCCAGTTCATGTAGTACAGAAGGAAGACCACAATGCAGAGCTCCCCTTCTCCCTTGTAGTCCCATCCAGTCTTGCCAGTGGTGCAAGCTGCAGAGCTGTCTTGAAAAGCTGGGCAAACACAGAGCTGTTAGCCTATGCTGCGTTGTCAGCTCTGTGGTATTGCTGCTACCAGAGGTCACCCTGGGTAGCTGAGTGCTAATGTGAGTATTTATACAAGTCACTGTTACTGTTCTGCCTGCAGTCTAGCCATTGTGCAAATCATGGCAGAGCTAATATTAGACTCCAGATATCCTGATTGCCTTTTTATGTCAAAATCACTACATAATACCTGAAGGAAGAAGGAAAACACACACAGATACTTAACCATAATATGTTGCATAGCCAGCAGAAAGTACTGCATTCTGTTCACATATATTTACCATCTAAATAAGTTGGAAATATAAAAATCATTGGGGGTTAGCTGTTTGAATATTTAAAAATGACTAGTCACAGATACAGCATTTCCCAAGTAATTATGATTGAATAGACAAATGAGGAAAAACAATGTTTGACCTCTGTGCAAAATGATGATAACTAGAAACCAGACACAAAGTGAAAGTGTTAGTGGAAATGAGTTTATTATGTAGCACAAAGTTCAAGTCATTTCATGATTTGAAATACAGCTCCATGCATTACATTTTTTGGAATAATACTGTAGAAACAGAGAACTTTTCAAACAGCTGATTCACATCTGATCTGGACCACCAGCATTTGAAACGTAATGGCTTTTAAAGGGTACTTCCATGGGGTACTTCCTGAGCTTATTTACTAGTTACAGCACAAGTTCTCTACACAGTATAACATTTTGGCACCCTGTTTTCTCTTCCAAGAATGGCCATTTCCATGGAATGGAATCTCATCCTTCTGTTATTCTCTGACTATCTGATTGATAGTGTTGGTATTCATAGCCCTAGAACTTCATTTTTGTTCTTACGTGTTATATACATGTCTGTCTTTGCCACTGTTAGAAAATTCCGTTCTTCCTCTTTCTCTAAGTTTGCGAGGTTTTCTTTAGCAACATTTGTTAAGTGCTTGCTGTGATATCTAACAGTTTTCATGATATCTGCAAGTGGCATCCTGCTGCTACGAAGAAGCAGAAACTGTTCAGTAGCTGTGCCACTCAAAACCTCAAATGAAGTCACAAACAGTGAAGACGGCATGAGAAAATCAAGGTCCCAAAAAGTTTTCATAAATGAAAGTTTATTAGACGCAAAACCCACTTGATGCAGGAGGAAACTAGAAGGGAAAAAGCAACTGTGACAAAGCACATTACTGAAAGATGTCTAGAGAAACCCAGATTTATGTCCTGGGTAGCATCTCATGTTGTGTTTGTAAAACCCTCTTATTTCTTGCAGAACTTCCCTCTAATTCTTCACGCTTGCGGTACCTTGCTGCTCTCTCAGGATTTCTGAATGTTGTATTTCTGGGAGCTGTGATCACATTAATTCAGCGATGTGAGTGACCAAGTGAAATATTTTACTTTAATTCCTGTCAATGAATGTTTTGCTTTAATACTTCTCAATGAAACTGACAGGTATTAGTCCTTAACTTAAACAAGTTTTGCAAACACACTGTTTTGATAAGGTGACAAGACCACTCATGCTTTCTACTGCTGTGTTTCTGATGAGGGTGGGAGGGAGTCACCAGCATTTTGGGGCTGTGGATCTGCAGAAGGTCAGTGGCTTTCAGAGGACTGTTGTATGTTTGGGGTGTATCAAGAGCGCTGGAGTCTTTCTCACTTTTCCATCCCCCAATCTGAAAGTCCCTCCTCTTCCTTTCCAAAACAGAAAAAAACACCAGGGTTTCTAGCCAAAGAAGCCATCCATCAGTTTGGAAAAACTCTTTTAGTAATGAAATAAAAATGTGTGCCTCTAAGTTTATAAAACTGGCCTGTGCACTGTCCACAGAATTTGTGCATAAGCACTGGGTCACTGCCAGCATTGATGACGTGTGTACAGAGCTTACCCATCCAGCACAGATGTGTGCCATTATCCCTGAGCATCTAAACTTAAGAGACCAGAAAGAAATGGTTGCAGGTGCCCTGGCCAAGCAAATTGAACAGGGTTTTAGGCTGCCATCAAAAAATATCTGAATATTGATCAAGGAATCTAATTCTAGTTTCCTCCTTTAGAAAAATTTGGCCTGGTAGTCCCCATGTTTAACCTGCTTCTGGGCATCAAAATCACTTTGCACATCAAAATCACTTAAGAACCCAGGAGAAAATAAGAATTCAGAAGCACTTCTGGGCATGAGTATCCTGCAGAGTCAGATGTTCTCCCTTTCTCTGGATGTGAGTCCTGCCCTCTCACATCAACCTGTTCTTTTCTGAAATAAGCTCAATACAAATTTCAGGAACTGAAAAATCAAAGGCACAATGATGTTATTTGAAAAACAGCTGTTGCATACTGTGTTGTCAAAAGCATGATAATAATGGACTGTACACTGTCTTTGTGAAGTCAGTCACCTCATTTATTTGTTTAATGCATATGATTTGGATGCTCAATTCTCCACCTATCATTTACAGGAGAGCTCGAAGGACAAATGAGCAATCTGAGTTTCCACTTAAAGCTCCTATTATTATCCATGGAAAAATACTATGGGGTTTCTATACAGTTCATTTGTGAGCTTTACATTAAACTGTTGGAGATTCTTGTCCAGGTGACTTGCTATCAAGTGATGTGTGGAAGCCCAGAGAAAATCTTTCTGAAAGTGACAGTATCTTTGAGGAAGATCTTAATGAAAACAGCTTACTGACTACAATAAAGGAAAGCTTATGCATGCATACAAATGGTAAGGAAATAAAGTTTTGCTCATAGTAGCATAAATGGTTTGAAGCTCTTGAAAAGATTAATATAAACACCTGCACAAAGGAATTGACCTTTAGATACCAGAATAAGCATGTTTATATTGATAAAGATGTATAAAGTGATCTATTTTAGAGTTCCATCCTTGAAAATTTTAGTTTAAGCAAAAAAATAAAAGTGGAGCAGTGTTACTGAAGGTTTTTGTTATTTCTCCATAAATGCCATTGAATTGTACTACTGCCAGTGATTTCAGCAGAGCTGGGATTTTATCCATGGTTTTTACCTCAATTATTGTGTAAAATATTTAGTGCAATTATGTAGAGTTCCAAAATATTTAAAGGCACAGAGTGATCCCTAATCAAAGAATGACTATCGTTATTACTACTGTAAAGCAGGGACAATGTGTTTTCTTAAAATGAGCTATACCGTCACAATTTCTGCCCCACTCGTGGTTTAAAGCTTCTTACTTTCTTATACGAAAGCCTCATAAAAAGCAGAAGCCAATAATAGTGATATCAACTGTAAAAAAAAAAAAAAAAAGAGAAGTGTCAAAATCCTTTCACCCCAAACTCTTCACAGGCTCCAGATGTGAACTCTGCCCCATTGGCTGGAAGCTGCATTACGGGAGATGTTATTTCTACTCAGAAACTCGTGACACCTGGGGCAATAGTAGAAAGTATTGCTCAGGAAAAAAATCTGAGCTCCTGATTATAGAGGATGAGACTGAAATGGTAAGCTTGTAAGGGGCTCTGTGGTTCAAATATTCTTTTTACTTATACTTTGTGAATCCACACATCAAACTACAGCTTCCTATGTATTTTTAGAAGCCATTTCTAATCCAGATATGCTCATAAAAGGCTTTTTCAGTGGTAAGTGCACTGATGAATGACTTCTGCATGTTAAGAAACGTTTGTGTCAAAAAGACCGGTAGCCTATGTTTCATTTAAATAGATGCAATGATATGCCTAGAGATTATCTCCAGCAAGAAGCAGCTGGTGTTTGAAGGATTCTTGCATGTTTTATTCCAAATCAAACCTGTTCAAAATTTAGCTGTCGTAAAGGCTGTTGCCTTTCTTTTGAGGGATGGAGCTGCTTCTCTATACATTGTACATTTTAAAATGTCAGTACCAAGTCTACAGCAATAGAAAGGACAGTTCTGTAGACCAAATCCTAACCTGTAGAGTGTGTCCTTCATGCTACTGATTTTGCTTAAAGGTGACCAGGTTCAGACAGTCACTTCTAGAGCACCCAGGAGGGTGAGCTGGCAAAATGGTCATCTCCCTTCCTTGGAGGGACGAAAAAGAGGAGATAGCTTCAGCTCCTGTAATTCAGATCAGCCTGATCCTTATCTGAAATGCGCTAGTGGAATGGGTCTGGGAAGAGCAAGGAGCCAAAGGTTAGCTCCTTGGTTGCTCCGTTTACCATCATTAGCCACGTTACTGGGTGTAGTTGAGAATCTGAACTATTTTCCATGTGGTTTTTGTTTTTTTTTTTTTTCTTCTCAACTTCTTGGAAATATTCTCTGGAATCTTTGGGCATGAAAGCCTTGCTGTTTTTAAAATATTCATTACCACTATACATTACTGGTGCTGGAGTTTTATGAAGTGTCATTATTATGAGAGTTCAAAGACATACCTCTCTCTAGGATTTCTTGAACAAACTGAAGGAGAAAGACATTGGCTTTGTTTGGACTGGATTAAGCTTTGATGAGGAGGAAGGAAGATGGATATGGCTCAATGATCCCAAACATCCAGGGCACAAGTAGGTTCATTCTGGAGTGAATCTGTGCTGGTTTCCATGACGTCTTCTCCATTCGCTGTACCTGGGCTGTTCAGCCATTAGACTGTGAGAAAGTAGTAGTAAGATATCAGGGCCCATACTCCAGTTAGGCAGCTCAGCCTATTCTGATTTTTCACAGTACAGAATTCTGATCAAAACATGCAGTTGAAAAGTGAAATTCCTTGAGAGCTCTCTGAAAAGGAACTAACTTCATTAGGATGTGCCTATGCTGTGTAAGCTTTTTACTTCCAGCTGCCTAACAAGTAGGGAAACAGAGAAAGGGTGAAGCTTACTAAACAAATAAAACCTGTCTGTAAGTCAGGGAATCAAAAGAATGACAGCATAAAGACAAAAGAATCCAGGCTTTGTGGTTTCACTCTTTGTATATTTAAACAGATTTTTCAATGATCTTCATATCTGTGTGGTTTTGGCTCTTGCAGTTTTACAATAAAAGGAAGGAAGAAAGAAGAAAAATGTGCTGCCTATAAGTTGACAGAAATGCATGCTGATAACTGCCACTCCTTATACAAATGGATTTGCAAGAAGAGTGCAGTCCTTCTGGGTATCTAAGATATTGAAGGTTTACACCACTTTACAGTGGGTAGGATATTTGATGTAAAATTAAGGGGAAATTGTTGACCGGAATTGTGATTAATCAATGCATTGTGATTCTATTTGTCATTAAAGTCCAGGAAGATTTCAGGCTTGTGTCTTGCTTCTTCTCAGCATGAAGGTACAAAATCTATGTGTCTTTATGCATGCTGATGCACTGCCTCTTAGAGCTATTAAAATAAACAGCTTACTAACTTTAAGTAGCTTATAGAGTCTAAGAGTTGTGTAAACTATAGGTAAAATGATGGTTTTTTTACCAGCCTGGCAACTAGATCATACAACAGACAAAAGGTTGCTGTTGCTACTTACTTCGAGTAAAGAGGTGATAATCAGTGCTATATGCATTTAAATGAGCCTGCAAATCTCACCACTGGAGATCCAATATTGAAAGACAGCATAGGTCTACACAAGAGAAAGTCAAGATCCAGTATTTTTTCCACAAAGTTTAATTTAATGTACATCATTCAGTGTTATAGAATTTGGCACTTAAAAAAACCCATAAATACCTCTTCAATTTGGATGTGAGATTTAATTGCCTGATATGATGTCTTTGTTCTATTAGCATGCTAGAAATGGCAAAATCATATTTATGGGGCTAAAGGGCTATAAGCCTTGCTTTTGTTAGTCCACTTCACAGACACTTTTTACAAGTCAAAAATGGTGTTGCAACCCTTCTACATCTTGAGGTTACTGATCAGGACGAGGCAGCAGGTCTCAGAGATGTTTGCTCTTTTCTGTCTGATCTTACCTCGAGATAACTTGTACAGGTCTGAGAGTAATCTGTAGTTCTTCATTGTTATGTATAACCATAAGATACTAAACATTTGATTTTTATAGCTAAGAAAAATCAGTATAATGATTAAAATGACGACTCTAGGATGTAAAGCCAAGTTCCGAATTCTTCTAGTTGAGGAAGATCGCTCTGAGAGGCACTTCCACCAGGAGTGTGGTAGCAATGTGGGTTACTTGATGATTTGTTTGGTGTACAGTAACCTATCCCTTTGTGACTTTTGTAACATGTCTGACTTCAGGTGTAAGAGTGGGGTGCTCTAGCATTTCTGGCAATCATTTGAAAAATTGTTGAAAATTGCTTGGCAACTCCTAAAGGCATTGAGCCTAACATAGCATACAAGTGCAATGATTCCTGTGAGATGAGTGTTGATTCTATAGGTATGATGTAGTTAAAATCACATCCTTCAGCAGAAATTACTTTACACCCACATCTATTATCAGATAAATTATACACAGTGAGATATTTTACAATAATTTGTGGGCACTTGATGAACACACAGTTGCAATGGTGTTATTCGTTTCTAACATCTGGCTAGCTCCTTGATAACAAAAGAACTTTTTCATAAAACTGGTACATGGTTTTATGTCATACTCGTATGTAGTTTTTAATATCTCCATAATTGAGGAACTCATGGTTTCCACCATGATCTGTTTTCTATCTAACCCAGAAGCATCCACTTTTACATAGCTGTTTTATATCTCTGGCATCATATATAACACTACACAAACATACAGTCCCAATGTCCCAGTCCCAATGTTGCAAATGTACACATAATAGCATACATTTTTCTAAAATACAATTTACCGTTGTAATTATTTCTATACTTAGTTGATTAAGCTTTGCTTTTTATAGCACTTGAACTATTATTTTTTATAAATACACAGCATCACATCCATGTATGTTTATGTTACATATACAAACATCTTACATTAGTGATCATGATCACTGTTACTAATGAGAGGCATGTATATCCTTATGGAGAGAAATGGGGTTTCCCTTGCTTGGAGATGGGAACACCTTACAATTGGTTCCATTTTTTCCCTGTTATTCATAGATGAATGTGATGGTCTTCATTCTACATTCAGCAATGGGAATTGACTAAAAACCCCCAGTATTATATCTTTTCCATTTCATATACACATATACAACAATAAAAAGAAAGCAAAACCAGCTAAACCAAACCAATGCAAACTATAAGTAGCCGTACCCCTGGGATTGAAGTAGATTACTTGTTCCTCTGCACTGCTTTTATTAATCCTTCCTAGCTTTTCCACACGCAAGGTCCATCCAACATTGGGCACTCCTACTAACACCCTGCTTCACACTTACCCTTTTTCTCCAGTTCCACTGCTGCAGTCCACTGTTAGCAAATGTTACAGGCTGGACTAATTCCAGTGTGTTATTATCCACTTTTCTCATTTCTCATAATTCTCCTTGCTTGCTGGATCCCTTTTGCTGATTCTACCCAAGCCATGGTTGATCCCACTGCTCAGTCTGATTCACTGTTGCTCGAGCTAGATTCTTGTATGTCAGGCATGTTTTAACCACCCCTTCAATGCAAGTATCATCATTTAGGGGCCTTATCCTCTGCATCATGATACTAATCAGTTCTGAGTCTAATGTGATAGTGATTTGCTCTATTCTGTTATTGACCATATCTCTGGCTCTTTATGTTTTTACAATGGCTTCAAAAACTAAAGGTTCTCTGGGTTTTTCAGCTGGTTCTCTATTGTAAAACTCTTTTTGCAATTGGACAAATGGTGGTGGATAACCATACTCCTCCAGACTCTTCCAAACACAACTGTTATAATTCTTTGTCTTGGGTGGATCCCAATGTTGTCTAAGTTCTGCTTAAGATCCCTTTCCTCCTTTATAGTTGTGTTTAATGTCTTGGGGCTAGGCCATACACAACAACTTTTCAAATGCAACCTGGTCATAATTTGGGGCTTGTCTGCCTCTGTTGTTTAGAAGACTATGGGCAGAGGCTGACAACTTTTTCCATGCCAAATACATTTCTTCTGTTATATTTGGCTTGTGCTAATATATATAATTAATATAACACAATGTATCCACTTGTAATGATAATTTACTACTGCAAAGATTGCATCTATATCAATTCTTCCATCAGTCCACCCAGAAGCTGTAGCAGATGCTCAAGAGGAATTCTCTTGATCAGTCATGGTTAAACCAGTATAAGCATCTAACTTATCTAGCCACTTAATACACAGGTCTTTTGTTTACAAGATCTGCTTTTGTGGCCAAGACTCTTAACTGTTCTGGGGTCTGATGAGCAGTAATCATTATTTCTTCCCTAACAACTCAGTCTGACTCTGGTTGTGTATTTCTCCTTCTTTTCCTTCTGTTTGTCTATCTCCTGTACAGGTAGTGATGGGTGATACACTTTGAACACTGGCAGCACCTCAGCATCAGGAGCACGTGGACTTTTAGCCTTATACTTCTCTGTGGAAGGGTCAATATCTAGATCAAACCATTAACCTCCATCCCCTAAGTCAGAATCATCATGAGAGTGTGTTTTGGCAAGAGCTGTGTCCATGCCTTGCTTTGCACATAATGTTGCTCTACAGCTTCAACCCCTTCTAGATTTTTACTTTCTCAGTGTTTTAACTCAAAAGACCATTGTTTCAGAATTTAATTTCTTGCCTTTACTTTCAAAGTCTGAATTTCCTGATCTAGCCTATATGTCACTGACCACATTGCCCATATGCTGTCTCACTTGATCTCTTTACAGGAAAGTTTTTGCCTTAACATTTTAAAGTTTGCAAACTCTTGGTCAGTATCTGTGCTATGAAAATTGGGGTCTGAGGGCTTGAGCAACCCTGTTCCCCAACTCCAACAGGTCTTATAAAATGGAGATGGAGTATAAGCAAAATGCTTTCCAGGACCACAGGAACACGTTAGGTGCATTCCTGGTCTTCTGTGATCACTGGAGGCTGCCATCCACAGAAAGGCTTTTACAGAAAAGTTGCTCACAGTCTGTGTAACACTCAGAGTCTTATTACGGTCAAAAAGGAAATGCACACCTTATATACAAAGTGAAGAAGTCATCATTTGACTAGCTAAAGTTGTAACAGTCTAATCAGAATATAACAAACAAATTATTAGTCCAGTTACAATAATATAGCACAGTCCAAATTATCAGAAAAAGCCTCATTAATAATACATTAAAATTGCTGATATATACTTCCTAGTAGAGTTTTGTTCATCATTGCAATGATCTGTGTTGTGAGTCCTACATCTATGGTTCCTGTCTTCCACAAGAAGAATAGGGAGAGGGGGTGTGCAGAGTCATCAACTGGTGTCCATCAAGTTGTTTCTCAGGAGGGAAATGTTGTTGGAGGAAATAAGTTTTTTCTCCCTCATTCTTGGGTCGAACTGCAGTTATATTTTTCTTTGGTTGCTAACATAGTCTGCTTAGTTGCTCTTTTTTCACCGGTTCCCAACTAAAGTTTGACTATCTTTGTTTGACTCTCTTAGTTAAAGATACACAATAGCCTCTGTAGCCTCAGCCTATGGCATTAATATTTGGTACTAAACAGCACAGGTCAGCTACACTCTTACTGTATGTGTTATTCACAGAGCCAGCTATAAACAAGTTATGCAGTTGTTCCTTGGCTGCTAGACAACTGCTGTCACAGCTAAAACAAGCTGAAATCAGCTCAGGCCAAGACAAGTGCAGACAGATCCTGCATGGACAGATCAAAGCTTCTCCTTTTTCCTAGTAATGTGAAAATCATATTTACTGGGCTACAGGGCTGCCTTGTGGTTCTTTTCCATGTTCTCTCACAGCCTTTCTGCAGAACAGTGAATAGGCCTTTCCTATGGATGTAATCTGAATATTGTATGGATGTCAATCAAAAGTGGTTCATCCAAAGACACATGGAGAATTGTAATCTGAATGCTTACTCTTGTTATTTCTACATCATGTGCCTTAACCTCTTGAATACCATTCAAGTTTTTCTGTGAAATACAAATTCATCAGTATTTTTAAGTGTAGTGTCAACTGACTGGTATACTTGCAAAGTGAAAAACAGTTGTATCAGGATATCCAGCCAAGCCTGGAGAGCTCAGCAGCTTCTTTGCTTTCACTGCTGTGCTAATTTTGCTGGAGTCCAGCAGGCACACAGTTGTACAATGAAACATGCTA